GGCATTCTGTAATCCAGTGGTCTTGCTTTCAGTGGTTTATTTAAGCTTAAACTGTTAGATTATCTCTGAATTCGAGAAAATTTCTGTATTTAGTCTGCTTGTAGTGTCAAAAAGAATGAAGGCAACAGTTTCACCTCATGCAAAGCCCCAGGCCTCTAGACCCAAACACTGTTTGAGTGGAGCTTAAAACATCAACACTGACAAGTCTGACAGTCTAACATCAGTATTCAGCCGAGTGTTAAGGCCAAACAAATAGATTTCTTCACGATGGAGAATTGGTTCGGTTATCGCTATTCTTGGGACCATTTTCGACGGGAACATCTGTAGTGTTCCCTCCCATGAATGCAAGTGTCTGAATGCACTAGTTCATTTGGTCGCAAGTGAATTGCAGGGCAGGCAGAAAAGAAAAGACAAATTCGTTCTGAAAAATGTTCCGAACTCCACACGGGCAATGGTAATTGCTGTGCATTTTCTGTACTTTTTTGAATTTAACTATAAAATAGCAGACGCTATTAGACTGTCATCTCGTAGCAATAATCCAGCTATTTTAGTTAAGCATTTTTTCACCCATTGAAGTGGACTCCATTTTCAAACACCGAGATCCTGTTACGAAATATCTAGAAAATAGACAGGATTTCCTTTATCATGATCTCACCCTAATGGACCGAAAAATATGTTCGAGCACATCTACCAAAGCTCACCGCTTCTACCAAAGTTCACCGCAGCCCTCTTAAGTTTCCGGTTGTAGCACTATGAAGACTGGGCGGTCACGTAATGTTATTCCTGGCGAACCTAGTTTACCACTCCCCTTAATTGCAACCATCTCCTCACCCTCAAGTCACCCGACACCTCCGCCTTCTTCCAGTTTAGCTGCTTCCCAAATTGTCGTGGCTAATAATTGTGGTAGCCCTCCTAGAACTTCCGAAAATCCGTCTACGTCAGTAAACCAACAGCTTCGTTATTCCAACTAAATTCTCCAAAACTTTCCGTTAAACCACAAAAACTACGCCGTCCGAATGGCGTGATCCGGAACTTAACCCCGAGCATGCTGCCTTCCTAGGCGCTCATTAAGTGTATGCAACAAGAAAGCTTTCTGTATCCATATCTTCCAATCTACTTCACACTTAGAACGGTCTATGATAAAGAAGTTAGGCCTAACTAACACGAATAAGTTAGCATTATCGCCTCATGCGGATCGAATTTCTGTCAAGGCAGCACAAATATGCAGTTTTATATCACATTATTTTTTCCTTTCGGAGATAACATTAAAACTGCATTGCATATTTGTTCTCCCTATCCTAGAGTACTGGTGTTCCATTTTTTGGTCTTGTGAACGCATATGACCACAGTAAGATTGAAAAGGTTCAGAGAGTTTTCACTCGTAATCTATTTTCTCTTTCTAGATCCAGTATTTATAATACAGATAGATTTCAGTTAACGAACACTGACTTTACGTAGATACTAAGGCTCGAAGCCGGTATATGCTTCCTGTTTCGCGTTAATAATAGCCCTAATGTCCCACAAAATAACGCTCTCACTCCGCAAGGCCGACCTAATACCACTTATAACTCCTCCATGATAAATTCACCACCCCTTAGCTCCACATCTAATCGTTCTCGTTTTTGCATCTTAATATGCTTTCATTTTGAACAATCTTCCACTCGAAATTAGGTTGTCTTCTACATTACAGATTTTTAAAGGCAGATTGCGTAAACATTTAAATCTGGAGGAAATAAAGTCGTTATTGTCTGTTTCCTTCCTAAACACGCAACTCTTATACTTCGGAAAGGGTCCTCCTTGTATTTAAGGCTCTTCCCAAAATAATAGAGTGGTCTCTAAATATGTGTACATTTTCCTCTACAGAGTCAAACATAACTTCCAAATGCTGCAAGCCTTTCTCATTTTTGCAACCCTGACGGTGGTCTTCGCGGTCACTTTCGGTGATCATCGCGGGTCCTTACGTTGTCGCCAAATTTTTGGTGGACTCTACAGTCTGATGGGTCACTTCTCGGTGACGCTGCCGTGACTTCTACGGTCCTCTGCTCGTTTCGACCACATTGTCCGCGATGAGCTCCTCTTGTGTCACCCCAATGATGCCATATGAATCCTCCAACGACAAGGAGCGTTCTGAACCCTAATTATCGCAATCCCATCCCATTGCGACGTATCTTATCATATAAATCTAACCACCTTTTTAAGCATTTTTTATCATATACTTTTTTGTATATCCGTGGCTCGCTGAACTCTGCCATCGATATAGGATTTTTTCACTGCCTAGCATTTTTGACTATTATGACATCAGTCCTTTATAGTGGATCGCTCTATAAGTGCAGTATTTTCAAAGAGTTGGAGTCGAGGAAGCTTGGCGGGAGCAACACACATGAAACTACACTTGGATGGAGAAAACTCAATTTACCAACTTGAGCCCCATCGTGAGAGCGTAAGGAGGTTTGCATTAATTTTATTCACGCAAACATTAGCCGTGTCCTTAGATAATGTGTAAATACACTTAAGGTCATCTGCATAAATTAGATTGGGCGAATTCATGAAAACTACGGAAATTT